AATCTATAAACTTTAAAATTAATAATAAATATAAGATATATAAATTAAAGAAGGCGCTATATAATTTAAAGTAATTCTTAAAAGTCTAATATAATATCCTCTTTATATATTTAAAGAAATTAGACTTTAAGTCTATTACGATTAATTTCTTAGTTTTTATTAATAATATTATAATTATTATAATCTATATAAATAATATTCTTTTAATTAATCTTAATAAAATAAAAATTTAAAATATTAAAGATAAGCTTAGTAGTTATTTCGAAATAACTAATTTAAAATTATATATTTATTATCTAAATATAATTATTATTAGAGATTATATTAATTATATTATTCGACTTAATTAAATAGAGTATATTAAAAAGTTTTTTATTAAATATAATATATAGAAATTTAAAGATATATCTATTTTTATAGATATCGAAAGATATTAAATATTTAAAGAGAATTTTTAAATCTTTAAAGTCTTTTATATCGAGTATTAATTAATAATAAAATTATTAATATATATAATATTTGATATAAAATTAGATATTATATTTATAATCTTAATAATATCTCGATATAATTTAAACTTTAACGAAGTTTATTAAAAAGCGATTAAGCGGATCTTTCGCTATTTTAGATAAATCGTTAACTATTAACTTATTTTTAAAAGAGATTTAAAATCTTTAAGCGGCTATATTAATATCGATTAAATTAATAATTAAAATACTTATTACTTTATATTTAGATATATATTTAATATCGATAGCGAAGCTATTAATTAATTATCGAAGTAATAATCTATTATAATATTTTTAATTTATAAAATTAAATATATTAACTAAATATAAGCTATTAAGAAAATAATTTAATTACGCGATTTATTAAATTAGTTTAATTTTAATAATAAATAAATATAAGTAATAATTATTTTTTATAATAATTAAGGCGTTATAGTACTAGCTAAAAACTTCTAATTTTATATTTATATTAAATATATTAATATTTAATATTATTATATATAAAAATAAATTATCGCTAAGAATATCGCTTTAGATTATATCTTTATTAATCGATAAATAGCTAATAGTCTTATTAAGGCCTTTAATAAAAATAAATTTAAGAGATTTTATTAATTTATTAGATTAAAATATCGCTTATAACTTTATTATAAAGAAGTTATCTACTTTAGAGAAGCTATTTTATTAATCTTTATATTATAAATAATTAACTCGAGTTATTATATTAAGTTTAACACTCTATAAACTCGCTATTTTATATTAAAATAGCTATTTTCTTTAACGCTATTACCGCTATCGTTATTAAAACTTTTAAAGCTCTTTTAAGAAATTTATATCTATTCGTTATTAATACTTTAAATATTATATCTTTAAATTATTATTATTAGCTATTATTACTAAGAATTAATTATCTAGAATAATCTTATAGAGATCTTATAATCGACGATATATAACTAGGAGAATTTCTTTTAATTATTTTATTTAGCTATTCTTATAAATATCCTCTAATTTTAAATTAATCTATTTTTGATATACATTAGATAGCCTAAAAATAAAAATTTTAAAAAATCGTTTTTTAATAAAAAGTAAAATTTAGATTATATTTAAGTAGGGTTATAATTTAATATAATTATTTTTAGATTTCGACTTTTTACTTTATCTATCTTATTTTAAATATCGCGAACTTTAAATCTTATATTTTTTAATTTAATTTATAAGGGGGGGGATAAGGGTATAGAGGGATAAGAGGGGTATGTTTTTACGCTAGCTATTTAATACTAACTTATCTTATCTATTCTATTTTAATATCGTTAATATTAAACTTTATATTTATTAGATTTCGCTTATAAAAGGATACGTATAAAGGGGAGTATTGAAATTCGAATTATGTAACTCTTAGCGTCTTGATGGTTATATAATTACGTTATATAATACGCCTTAGCGCGTCTATATTAAGTCGCTCTTTTCTTCTATAGAACTCTATAGTTAATATAACTAAGTATCCTACCTTCATATTTTAATAAAGTTTTAAATCTAATTTTTTAAAATAAATTATTAGAGTATTATATTAAATTTTAAAGAGTTACTTTAAATCGTAAAATACCTTAATAAATTTATATATTTTATTTTTTTAATCTTTAGTTTTAAAGCTAGTAGGCTAAGTAATATAAATTATCTTTTGAATATTATTATATAAAAAAAAATTAATATCTATTTATTTAAATTTTTAATTTAAAATTATTATTAAAATAAAGATTATTTAATAATTTATAAATTTAATAATAAAGATAAAAATTTTATTAAAGTTAATTTCTTTTTATTATTTAAAATTATAAATAATTTAACGAGCTTTATATTAAATAATTTTCTTTATAAAATTATATTTAAGCTTATAAATTTATTAATCTTCTAAAATATATATATTTAATAAGAGATTTATTAGAGTTTAAATTCTATTAATAATAAATAAATTAATTTCTTCTTTTATAATAATTTCTTAATATATCTTATAATAAGAGTTTAATATAATTTTTTTTATAAGTTTAAAATTTATAGAATTTAAAAGAAAAGGCTTTTATTAATAGCGCTAGAGAATTTAGAAAAAAATCTTTATATATCTTTAAGATATCGAATAAACGATTTATCGCTAAAATTAAATTATAATTATTTATAAAATAAATAATAAATCTAAAAGACGCTATTATAAAAGTTATAGAGAGAGTTTTATTATTAAATATATTAGATAATTATTTTTCTAAAGATTTTAAATTAATTAAAGCTACTAATTAAGCTCTTTTAGAGATTTAAATAAAATGAAATAAATTATTAGCTTTATCTTTAATAGAAATTATTTATCTTTTTTAATAATTCTTCTTTAAAATTATAAATAAAGAGAGAAAATAGTTTAAAAATAATTAATAGTTTTAATAAGTCGACGACTATTATAATAAACTATTATTTTAATATTATTATATATATCCTTTTTTAAAATAAAAAATATAAATTTAAAAGAAATATTATTAAATTACTTAATATTCGAGATAATAATAATTTTATTATTATTTAAAAGTATATAATAAAAATAATTTTAATAATTTATAAATTATAAATTATCTTTTAATTATATAATTTCAATACTTTTTTTAATTAATAGTTTTAAATATAATTTAATAAAAATTTATTTATTTAATAATATATAGATAAAAAATCTTAAGAAAGAAATTAATATAAATTTTAAGAGAAATAATATTTTATTTAATTATAAGTTAATAATTATATAAATAATTTTTAATATAAATAAACTCGATTTAATACTTCTTTAATAGATTACTTTTTTTAAATATTATATTAATTTTATACTAAATAATAATATCTCATTATTTAAATTTATTATTTATTTAGAATTATTTTAATATAATATCTTTTTAAATAATTTTTCTAAATAAATAAAAGATTTTTATTTTATAATTTTATAATTTTATATTATAATTAAAGTGAAAGCGAGTATAATTATTATTATTATATTTTATATTATTAAGAAAAAGCTTAAATATAATAAAAATAAATTTATTAGACTTATTTAATAAAAGATAAATATTAAAATATAGAGTAAAATTATTTAAAAAGATAATTATAAATATATAGTTATTATAGAAAATATTAAATAATTTTTAAAAAATTATATAAATTAAGTTATTCTTTTATATTTTAAAAATAATATAGTATTTATAGAGCTTTATTTTAAAATTAATTATAAAATATAACTTATAAATATTATTAAAAAAAGATTTATTTTAATATATATTTTAATTATCTTTTTAATATTTTAAGTATTTAAATAATTTATATAGATATATTATATATAAAATATCCTTATATATTTAAAACTTTTATTAATTAAAGGATTTTATAAATTTAATAAAAAACTTATTATAAATAAGATTTTTTTTATTAATAATAATTAAGATTAAAGAGATATTTTTTTAAATATTAAGCGTATAAAGATAGCTTTAAATATATTTAAAAAAAATTATTTTTCTATAAAAAGATCGTCGAGAATAAAAGAAAGTAAATATTATTACTTCTCTAATTATCTTTTAAAAATTAAATTAAAATTATATTTAAATATATATTAAATATTATTAAAAGTTTAAATACGCTTAATATTTTTAATTTTAAAGTTAATATTATTAAAATTAAAAGTTATATAATTATTATTAATAAATTTATTAATAAAATAAAATTCTTAAAATTTAGAGAAGATTTTAAAGATTAAGAAATTATAAATAATATATTAAATATATATATAATTATAAAATTAAAAAAAGAATATTATTATTATAATAGAAAGTATAATAATAAAAGCTTTATTTAAAACTTTAATCTTAAAAGATTTATAGATTTTATTATTTAAGATTTAAGAATTAATAATAAATATAATAGCGATATAAATAATAAAATAGCGTATTATTATAAATTAATTATTTATAATAACTACTTTAACGCTAAAAAATTAATTTTTTTTTAAACTTTTTAAATTTAAATTTAATATTATTATTATTATTTTCTTAATTATCTTTTTTATAATAGAATAAGGTAGGGCTGAACTAGAAAACCTTGAATTTGTATGTGCAGCCAATCATAAATTCGGGGTTATTACGCCTTTTAGCTAGACTCACTGAGTCAGCCCGCTAGCCCTCCCGAGCTCCCTCATCAAAAATTTGTGTGTAGAAGTTTTACACTCTGAAATAACCAGCTCCCTACGGATGCTATTTCTTCATAATTTCGTAAATTGTAGAGTTCGATATGCGCTTTCTAACGCTGTAAAAATAATGAAGTTTGGCCTACTATTGGTGGATGAAATGAACATTCAAATATGGTAGTTATGGTAGCCACACACCAGACGCGTCCGGGATCGGATAATAATCCTTCCACCTGTTTGTGTAACCATTCTTCTTCCACCATTCTACCAATTCTACCAATTCCATCAATATGAACACAATCGTCTTCGGTTTCAGGCATGTACACCCCTTTTGCCCGCCTCTTAGAGCCCCTACTAACGCCCCCAGGCCACCCCTCGGCGAATCCGCTACTGCTGGCAATCGAGGCCGCAAGCGAGCCCAACAGCTACCTACTACTGCTCATAAACGCGTTGGAAGGCCCTCAAAGAGCCCGAACGGATACGTCCTCCCCTACATACTCCTCCCAAGCCAGCTCCTGAAAATATGATAATCACACCAGACGCGTCCGGGATCGGATAATAATCCTTCCACCTATTTGTGTAACCATTCTTCTTCCACCATTCTACCAATTCTACCAATTCTACCAATTCCACCAATATGAACACATTTACCCTCGGTACCCTCGCACTCAGTTGAATAAGAGGAGGATCTACAACAGGCGAATGCGGAGAACACTGCGGAGAACATTGCGGAGACAGTCATCAGCAGCAGTGACACAACAGGCCTACTCTCCACGATCTCACACCAATCCACTCAGCCAGTGCAAGAGAAGTCAATACAGCAGGTGAATGCGGAGAACACTACGGAGAAACCAAGCGGCAACAAGGCCACCATCGTCAAGAACACGGCTCAGCTCTCCAAGATCCCACGTCATATCAGTCATCCACTCAGTCATCCACTCAGTCAGCCATCCACTCAGTCAGCCACTCAGCTAGCCACTCAGTCTGATACTCTACAAGAGGAGGAGCAAGAGGAGGAACTACAACAGGCAAATGCGGAGAACACTGCGGAGAAACCAAGCGGCAACAAGGCCACCATCGTCAAGAACACGGCTCAGCTCTCCAAGATCCCACGTCATATCAGTCATCCACTCAGTCAGCCACTCAGCTAGCCACTCAGTCTGATACTCTACAAGAGGAGGAGCAAGAGGAGGAACTACAACAGGCAAATGCGGAGAACACTGCGGAGAAACCAAGCGGCAACAAGGCCACCATCGTCAAGAACACGGCTCAGCTCTCCAAGATCCCACGTCATATGCTCTCCACGGTTCCACATCAAATCATCACTCAGCAAGCGGAGAACACCACTGCAACTTAGCCTGTCATCCCCACTACATTAAGGAGTAAGAGGAGGAACTACAACAGGCAAATGCGGAGAACACTGCGGAGAAACCAAGCGGCAACAAGGCCCCCAGCACCAAGAACACGGCTCAGCTCTCCAAGATCCCACATCATATACTCTCCACGGTTCCACATCAAATCATCACTCAGCAAGCGGAGAACACCACTGCAACTTAGCCTGTCATCCCCACTTGCATTAAGGAGTAAGAGGAGGAACTACAACAGGCAAATGCGGAGAACACTGCGGAGAAACCAAGCGGCAACAAGGCCCCCAGCACCAAGAACACGGCTCAGCTCTCCAAGATCCCACATCATATGCTCTCCACGGTTCCATATCAAATTATCACTCAGCAAGCGGAGAACACCACTGCAACTTAGCCTGTCATCCCCACTGCATTAAGGAGTAAGAGAAGGAACTACAACAGGCAAATGCGGAGAACACTGCGGAGAACACTATGGAGAACACTGCGGAGAAACCAAGCGGCAACAAGGCCCCCAGCACCAAGAACACGGCTCAGCTCTCCAAGATCCCACGTCATATGCTCTCCAATGCATATTTGAACGAATTGAAACCATCCGATGTCTACAGCTATTTCATTATTCGAAAATTTCACTGCGGCAGGAGATATTGTGAGATTCACACCACTAATTAGCACGTTGTCTCCATTTCTTTCCGGTATTTCGATACTTCTTGCCATAAGAATATGGCCTTTCTCTATTTTTTGTGGGCAATTATTACGGATCAATCCTTCACACTTAATACACCTTCCTAATTAGGCCTTAGCGCGCCTCTCTCCGCACATATATACCTGTATATCACATAGATCAAATCAATTTTATAGTAGTGGAAGTAGGTCAAAAACGCACAGCAAGCGATCAGAGTTCGATTTGACTTAGGGCTAGGGCTAAAATTCGATTTGACTTAGAAAAATCCAACTCCATTTGACTTAGAAAAATGAAAGAATATATTTATTTAAGCTCTTTTTAATAATTTTTTAATATGTTTATAAGTAGTAATAGATAGCTATTAGCTAGCTTACTTATGATCTTAATTATTAATAATAATAATAAATTCGTTAAGAGATAGCTTAAAGATATTAATAGAGGCTTTAAGAGGTAGATAAAAGAGAGATATATATTTAAATTAAACGCGTTTAGTGTAATTATAATATTTAAATATTAGTTTAATTTATCTATCGCTAACTTAAGAGAAGTATATAGAGGAGAATATATTTATTTAAGCTCTTTTTAAGAATCTTTTAATACGTTTATAAGTAATAATAAATAGTTATTAAATTTATTTATGATCTTAATTACTAATAATAATAGATTTATTAAAAAATAGTTTAAAGACGTTAATAAGAAATTTAAAAGATAAGGAAAAGAAATATATATCTTAAATATTTAGTAATATTTAAACGAGGGGTATTAAGGGCGAATTTATTTATAATTAATAAATTAATAGAATTATAGAAGAAATATTAGTATATATAATAGAATAAGATAGAGCTAAACTAGAAAATCTTGAATTTATATATATAGTTAATTATAAATTTAAGGTTATTACGTCTTTTAGCTAGATTAACTAAGTTAGTCTACTAGCCCTTCTAAGCTCCCTTATTAAAAATCTATATATAGAAGTTTTATACTCTAAAATAATTAGCTTTTTATAGATACTATTTCTTTATAATTTCGTAATTTATAGAGCTTAGTGTGCGCTTTCTAACGCTATAAAAATAATAAAGTTTAATCTACTATTAGTAGATTAGATAGATATTCAAATATTGTAGTTATATTAAACGCGTTCGGGATCAGATAATAATTCTTTTACCTATTTATTTATTTGTGTAATTATTATTCTTTCATTACTCTATTAATTCTATTAATTCCATTAATATAAATATAATTATTCTCGATATCCCTCGCGGAAACGTTACTAAACGCTTTAGGCATATATACCCCTTTTACCCGCCTCTTAGAGTCTCTACTAACGCCCTTAGGCCACCTTTAACGAATTCGTTATTACTGGTAATCGAGGCTATAAACGAGCTTAATAGCTATCTACTACTGCTTATAGACGCGTTAGAAAGCCCTTAAAAAGAGCTTGAACGGATTTACAGCCATCGTTTTTCCCTATATACTACTCAATTAGCCGCTTAATTAATACTACTTACTCTATTAGCTCAGTAATCCACTTAGTCAGATCGTCAGCCAGTTACTTAGTTATCCACTTAGTTAGCCACTCAGCTAGCCACTTAGTCTAATACTCTATAAGAGAAGAAGTAAGAGGAGGAACTATAATAGGTAAATGCGGAGAATACTGCGGAGAAATTAAGCGGCAACAAGGCCCCCAGCACTAAGAACACGGCTCAGCTCTCCAAGATCCCACGTTATATGCTCTCCACGGTTCCACATCAAATCATCACTCAGCAAGCGGAGAACACCACTGCAACTTAGCCTGTCATCCCCACTGTATTAAGGAGTAAGAGGAGGAACTACAACAGGCAAATGCGGAGAACACTGCGGAGAACACTATGGAGAATACTGCGGAGAAACCAAGCGGTAACAAGGCCACCATCGTCAAGAACACGGCTCAGCTCTCCAAGATCCCACGTTATATGCTCTCCACGGTTCCACATCAAATCATTACTTAGCAAGCGGAGAACACCACTACAACTTGGCCTGTCATTCCCCACTGTATTAATATGGTATATCACTACAATAACGTCATAAGAGGAGGATCTACTATTACAGTCAATTGGGCCTCTATAGGAGGAATATCGGACGATACATATTTAAACGAATTAAAACCGTCCGATGTCTACAGCTATTTCATTATTCGAAAGATTTTACTGCGATAGGAGATATTGTGGGATTCACACCACTAATTAGCACGTTGTCTTCATTTCTTTTCGATATTTCGATACTTCTTGCCATAAGAATATAGTCTTTCTCTATTTTTTATAAGTGATTATTACGGACTATTACGGATTTAATTCTTTATACTTAATATACCTTTCTAATTAAGCCTTAGCGCGCCTCTCTTCGTATATATATATCTATATATTATATAGATTAAATTAATTTTATAGTAGTAAAAGTAGGTTAAAAACGTATAGTAAGCGATTAGAGTTCGATTTAACTTAGGACTAGGGCTAAAATTCGATTTAACTTAGAAAAATCCAACTTTATAAATTTAATTCATAGGCCTTTACTTGTAATTATATAAATAGATAAAAGAATTATTAATTAATCTTAAACGCGTTTAATATAATTACGATATTTAAATATTAATTTAATCTATTAATAATAGATTAAACTTTATTATTTTTATAACGTTAAAAAGCGTATATTAAGCTCTATAATTTACGAAATTATAAAAAAATAATATCTATAGAGAGCTAATTATTTTAGAGTATAAAACTTCTATATATAAATTTTTAATAAGAAAGCTTAAAAGAGCTAGCGAGCTAATTTAGTTAGTCTAGCTAAAAGACGTAATAACCTCGAATTTATAATTAATTATATATATAAATTTAAGATTTTTAAACTTAGCTCTATCTTATTCTTTTATATATACTAATATAAATTTAAAAAATTTAAAATTTTTATTTTTATTATAAAGATTATAATTTTAATTATAAATTTTATAATATTAAATATATTAGTTATCTAGATTTTTATAAAAATAATAAATCTTTTAATTCTTATTAATAGTAAAGAGATATTTTTTAAATAAATTATTAATTTTATATAATAAGATAGATTAATAAACTAATTAATATAAGTCTATAACTTATCTTTATAGATAATAAAAATAAGAGATTTTAGTCTTTAAATGATAAAGCTAAAAATATCTAATTCGCGAGATTTTTTTTAAGATTTTTTAGATAATTATGGCGTTAATATAGCTCTTAATAAAATCGCATAGATTATTCTTATATCGAGTTTTTATTATAATATAAAATTTATAATATATATTAATTTATATTATAATATCTATATTAATAATAATTTTAAAAATATTTTTTTATAAATTATTAATCGATTATAGCTCTTATAATAATTACTAAATAAGAGATTAATTAAATAATATTAATTTTAATATAATATTAAAGATCTAATAGTATAAAGAAATTCTATATATCTCACTTTTATTTATAATAATTAAAAGTATTTTTAAATATAAGAATTTAATAAAGTTAATTTTAATTAGTTAAAAGCTTAATATTAATATATTTAAATATAATATTATTTATAAAAAATTAAATTAATTTAATTTTTAATAATATAAAGCTTTAATAAGAGCTTAAGTTTAAGAATAAGATTTATAATATAATAGAATTTAATAAAATAAATAAAGTAGACGATATTAATAAAATTAGCTTTACTCTAAACTTAAAAAGCTTTTTATTTAAAATCAATTTTAATAATAATTTAAAAATAAATAAAATAAAATTAATATAAAATTAATATAAAAAATTAAAGTATACTCGCTATTAATATTATCTATATTATCTTTTTTTTTTCTATATTATCTATATTATCTATATTATCTATATTTATAATTATTTAAAGTGTATAAGAGAAATCTCGCTAAATTCTAAAGTTAGCTTAATATAACTTAAAGCGTTATTTAAAAAAAGATCTTATATTATAATTTATAATATTAATATATATAAAAGAATAAGATAGAGCTAAATTAGAAAATCTTAAATTTATATATATAGTTAATTATAAATTCGAGGTTATTATATCTTTTAATTAGACTATCTAAGTTAGCCCGCTAGCTCTCTCGCGTTTCTCTTATTAAAAATTTATATATAAAAGTCTTATACTTTAAAGTACTTAGTCTACGATATATATAATTACTTTATAATTTCTTAAATTATAAAGCTCGCTTTATACTTTCTAACGCTATAAAAATTATAAAGTTTAATTTACTATTAATAGATTAAATAGATATTTAAATATAAT